CTTTGTTTTACATAAAAATTGTCAATTAAAGCGATAGAATTTACTGGTATTGGGGATAGAATTTGTTTCCATTGTAGAAAAAAAGCCAAGAAAATCATCTATATTTTGATGTTCGTTTGGCTTTGTTTTACATAAAAATTGTCAATTAATGAAAAATATATTTTTTTATAATTAGGGATAGAATTTGTTTCCATTGTAAAAAAAAAAAAAAAAAAAAAAATAGCCCAATAGTCTAGAAAAACCAAGAAAATGTCTAGGTATCAAGGAAACCAAGAAAACAAGTTCCATGGAAAAATTTGTCATCGAACATGACAAAAGTAGGAAAGTAAAATTTATTTTCCACTTTTCATGAAATTTGTTACCAATCAAACATGGCCTTAAGTTCATTTTTTCTTCTTTCAATTTTCATCTTTAATCTTTCAATCTACAGGAACCTTTTCAAATATCATATGATAATATCTATCATGAAAATCAGCCAAGATTGTGGCATAAAGTTTTGACAAGAATTGGTCCCCTCACCTTACCACCATCTCCATACCCGCATGGTCTACATTCTTACCCCTATGTCCATTAGTTTTTTACCAATTAGTTTATTTTGGGCTAAAGGTACAGCTCAAGTATGGCCCAAAAGCTCCTATATACAAATTCAATAATCTCTCCCAATTTGTTAATGTTACACCAAATTGTGCTATTACCAGATCAAGATACAAGTTCCATTGCATGTTGTACAATGACATTTTCGTGTAATAAAATCATTCTTTCTCTTTGATAGTCATATGTAATATTTATTTTGATGGTCCGTACTCTGACAACGACCACTGAAAGATGGTGGCACATGCTTCCTGTCAAGTCATTTCCCTATTAATGGTCAAGATTCCTCCATACGGTTTGATCAGCGGCTGTAACTCACCTTTTCCCAGATTGAGAGAGAGAAAAACAGAGTCACTGAGCCATATGCATAGTATCAGCAATACACAGTATCAAATACATGCTCATACATCTTTCTCTGCTGGGGTGACTGTTATCAGGTCGACCTTGGTCGGGTGGACTATAAAAGAGAAGAAAATCACTCTGAGAGATAGCGATTGGTGAAGAAAAAGTTCAAACTTTCAGCTTCAGCTGACTGTAGCTCAAAAACCTAGAAAAAAAAAACAAACAAAAGGGATTCTTTTGTCAGTAATAATTATGGTTTTGTTGTTGAAGAGAGAGGAGTTGTTTGAGTTGGGTTAGATTTTCTTGGATTTTGGGTTTATTAGTTGAAATCGATTGTTTCTACTGAGCTTTTGTTTTTGTTTTCTTGGTGGGTTTGTTGTAAAATTAGTGATAGTGAAATGCATGTGAAGATTTGAGTTGGGGGAGTAAAAGATGGGGAAGATGAGAGAAGAGCTGGAGCTGAAAATGAGTTGGGATTTAGGGTTTGAGATTTTTGGGATTGAAAGTAAGGTTTAGCATTTTCAGTATTTATAATTGTGTTCCTAAGTGTAGTTTTAGTTTTATTATTATATTATTGATCATATATTTAAGCAGAGAGTTGAATTGAATATGAAGCTTTCAACATCAGGGATGAGTCAGCAAGTTCATGAAGGTACCTGTTATGTCTCTTAAGTGTTCATTTTTGTTCCTTGTTTTCTTTCTTCAACTAGATGATGAAATTCTTAATCTGAGTTTTATTTCAAAATTAAGAAAATTCAATAAATAATCAAGTTAAATTGTGGCTAATGGGTAATTGTTTGTTGACTGTGGGTTATGGAAGGGGAGAAGAAGTGCTTGAATTCCGAGCTGTGGCACGCCTGTGCTGGTCCTCTGGTATCCCTGCCGACAATTGGGAGTCGTGTGGTTTACTTCCCTCAGGGTCATAGTGAGCAGGTCTTTATTACTAATCTAATTAAACTATGTTTTCTTCTTTCATTTGTTTGATTAAGATGATATTATATTTTAGAAATGACAATTTCTTAGATTGTGCTGTATCCTATTCGAAAATGTTGGCCAGGTTGCTGCCACTACTAATAAAGAAGTTGATGCTCACATCCCAAATTACCCAAGTTTGCCACCCCAGTTGATCTGCCAACTCCACAATGTTACAATGCATGTGAGTTTTCAACTTTATAATTACATTCTTGTATTCTTGTTGTGCACTTACAGGTAATGGAGAGTTCTTAAGACATAAAAGAGCTTTGTTTATTTGTTCTACTTCAGGCAGATGTTGAGACGGATGAAGTGTATGCTCAGATGACACTGCAGCCCCTGACTCCGGTATTCTCTGATTAGATTAAGATTGTGTGATTCTTTTTTAACCTTTCTCTAATTATCATTGCAAATTGCTCATAGAACTAATGTTTTGTGACGTAAGTGCAGCAAGAACAAAAAGATACTTATCTTCCTGTGGAGTTAGGAACTCCTAGCAGGCAACCAACGAATTACTTTTGCAAGACACTGACTGCGAGTGATACTAGCACACATGGAGGCTTCTCTGTTCCTCGTCGTGCTGCAGAGAAAGTTTTTCCTCCTTTGGTAATGATGGTCCCATGATATGATCATTTTGACACTTGCATGCTGTAGTGATACATTTTTAAACTTTCCATTTGGTGCCTCAGGATTTCTCACAGACACCACCTGCACAAGAACTCATTGCGAGGGATCTCCATGATGTTGATTGGAAGTTTAGGCATATTTTCCGGGGTAAGTTCTAAAATGTTTTTGTTCTGTAGTCTTACATTTGTGCAATGTATATTACCATTTTTTTCATTGCAGTTGAGCCGTAGAGTGTATCAATCTGGACTTTTTGTGCAATTCGACTTGAATTAGTAATATTCTTTCTTAACTACGATAGCCAAGATAGTCACATCACACACATATGCTGCTACATTATGAGCTTCTTTCACACCACAAAAAGCTTAACAGCTTCATCGATTGTTGTGGGCAACTGTTGGTAGCTCAATATTAACAGTCTATGCTTGTATGTTTATTAAAGATCAAATGGAAACAATTGGCAAATGCTTATTTAAGGGGAAAAATGTTGGGTTTTATGGATCCACCTAAACTTGGGGGTTGGCAGTACCCCTACCATGTTCATGAGTTGTACGCTTAATTTGCATTTTATCCACACTCACAATTCCTAGTGATAAAGGAAAGTTACAGAACTAACTAAAATGAAAAAGAATTCATGAGGTAGAACCCTCCTCAGGGAATATTACGTAATTCAAACTAGTAACTATAAAAAGAAAAAAAAACCAATAAAAATGCTCTAACACAGCATGTTTGGTAAATAAGCTCCTATTGGTAAAAAATAAGTGATAATTAGCATCATCATCCATACTTATTTGCTTATTAGGTTTAGGTCCCACAATTGTCTTACCTTTGTCCCCAGTTTTTGTGGGCCCTAGTGTTTATCAGATAGCAACTTGGTGGCCAAATATGATCACAATTTCTTTTCCTAAAATAAATGTCAAAGTCCTGCTAAATAAAGTATTGATCCATTTGAACATTGCGCTGTTTTTATGAAGACAAGTGATGTAGTATCCTTAAATATCTGAATGAATTGCAAAGGGACACCAGAGGTTAAGAAGAATTCCAATCGGCAAGAAGTTGGGTTGGGGGTGCAGAGTAGCATTCTGCATAGCCTTGTGAATGTAACAGAGCAAGGAAGTGAAACCAATTATTTATGAACACATCCATGCTGATTCTTTTAAATCATCTCATCCAAAATAATGGATTCTTTACTATTCTAGGAAACTTTAGATTCTTCTTTTTGATCAATCAAAACCCCTTCCCAAACTGCACAAGCTTCTTTCAAAGCATACGACTTTCTGGATGTAGATGATGATATCTATACAGATAGATCTTTTATATATCGTACAATGAAGTACCACATAGTTATTGGAGGTGAAATGACTTATTAACATAGAAACTGTTTCACAAATCTTAGCTACTGTGGTTAATGGTATCTGGTGTGGAACCTAACTCCATAGTTGATGTTGTCTCTGCCCTTTTCTCTCTCTATTTGTGTTTTTGATTGCATTTCCTTTCATTCACATAGGCCAGCCTAAGAGGCATTTGCTTACCACTGGGTGGAGTGTGTTTGTCAGTGCCAAAAGACTTGTTGCTGGAGATTCTGTTCTTTTCATCTGGTGACTTCTGCCATTCTGCATTTCAGAATGCCAACTTCAATTTTCTCACCTTAAGTCTTAATGAAGTTTAATTCAAGATGTCATTGATTCTTTTTCAGGAATGAGAAAAATCAGCTCTTTTTGGGAATTCGTCGTGCCACTCGGCCACAAACTGTGATGCCATCATCTGTTCTTTCAAGTGACAGTATGCACATTGGACTGCTTGCTGCTGCTGCTCATGCTGCTTCTACTAATAGCTGCTTCACAATATTTTATAACCCAAGGTGGTTATAGATAAATAATATAAAATTCTATACATTTTATTTTGCTTCTTCTAACATGCTCATTACATCAGGGCTAGCCCATCTGAATTTGTCATACCTCTTTCAAAGTATGTCAAAGCTGCTTATCATACACGTGTTTCTGTTGGAATGCGTTTTCGGATGCTATTTGAAACTGAAGAATCCGGTGTTCGCAGGTACAATAATACTTGAATCTTCAGTATGCCATACATTGTTGTTTTCTTTCTATTATGATGATTAAACATCCTGAGTATTTGGTTAGTTGTTAACAGCACTTCATCTGGGAAGTGAAGAATAGAGATTTGTCATCATCTTTGGATATGAGGACGACAAACTGACCTGTATTGATAGTTTTGTTGCATTATGTTAATTCTTCACCACAGTTAACTTTCTAATACATCACCTACGTTGTAATTTCTCACTAGGATTATGAAGGGACAAACGGTTCTTCTAATGCTTGCCAAAATTACTGCAGTGAAATCGGTGGTGTGTTGAGAAATACCACTAATTTGTTATGGATTCTGTAGTATACTGAAGTTATCACATAACCTCTTCTGTGGTAGATAATGAATAATTGTCGTTAGATAAGTGAAACTGATATGTTGTAGGAATTGGATTATAAAATGTTTTGCATGGCTTTTTCTTTTTCTGGACCTTTGGTTTTCCTGTGCTTAGATGATTGCACGTCCAGGTACATGGGAACAATTACTGGCATTGGTGACCTAGATCCTGTTCGTTGGCCAAACTCTCACTGGCGGTCTGTCAAGGTACAAGCTACAAGGCATACCTTTACTGTGAAAGATATAATTGTCAAGTATTCTGCTCTTAATTTTCATTTATTATATTTTATATCACTTGAATGCACTTAGTGTTTTAGTTAAAGAGCTGAAAGTTTTTGTATGTTTTTTATCCCGTCAATTGCTCATAAAAGACAAGTTAGATAAATCTTTGCGTAACTCTGTCTTTTAATCTCATTTTTCTTGCTTAGCTACTAGAGTTGGTTACGTTAGTTTTCCTTTTGCACAATGCATTATCTGGATCAATAGATACAGAATTGACATTGGTGAATTTTCAAAATAATACTATAGTTAAAGCTCAATTCATGAAAGGTGGCTTTTGGTTCATTTGAGCCTTCTAACCATGTGGGCAACTTTTTTGTCACCCTTTCTGAAAGGATACCATCAGTTAGAACCAAAAGTCCACCCAAGTTCCAGCTAATACGGAGAATTAGGTGCTGAACTTTTTAGCATCATGTGACCAACTAACGAAGAACGCGGAATGGAATGTTTCCTTTCTATTCTCTCTTTAACAAGTAAAAAAGTCAAGTTGCTCATGTCACCAGAAATTTGTGGCTGATTAATCAAATCAAACAAGTCAACCTACTTTGTGTTGACATAATAAATAGCTTTGGAGACTTCCTGATAGATGGCTATTAAGGTCAGTGAGGACTTGAAAGGCGCATTTGACTTGTGTTCATAGTGTTCTGATGCTGAAAATCCTAATATGAGAAAGCTGTTTTCCATTCCCTTTGATTCTTTACTATTTCGGCTAAGTTTGGATTTGTGTGTTTTCAAATTCTCTTTGTGAGATTAATTATAAAACCATTTTTAATTTCAATTATTAGCACATGGATGATTGATATACACCTTCACCATATCGTAGAAGTTGCGAGAGGATTCACACCACAAACAACAACAAAGTCGCTATAATCTAAAATGCCTGATTGTATGCATTTTCTGCCCCCCCCCCTCTATACTATAAAATATTTTAAATGTAAATTCAAAATTTTTTCTAACTTTTTCAATCACACATTCTCCAAAAAAAAAAAAAAAAAAAAAAAAAAAAAAAAAAAAAAAAAAAAAAAAAAAAAAAAAAAAAAAAAAATTTTTTTTTAATTTTTTTCCCCCCCCCCCCCCCCCCCCCCCCCGGAAATCTAAGACTCTAAAGCAACATGACATCCACTTAACTAATCTGCTTTGTCCAACTATGTATCACATGATAAGTGTCAAAGAAAAGAGGGACGGCTAGTGGAATTTAAGCTTCTGTGCCTATGCCTGATACCATGCATTAGCAACGCCTACAAGATAAACTCCCTGCATCCTAGAAATTACATTTTTTGGACATCCCCAGATTGACTTTAAGAGTTATAACAGTTATTTTCATGAACTTCCGATGGTCGCTTTTGTCTAGAGTTACTAACGATATGTTTTTCTAGTTATCTGGCAACCTTTATTGGCAATTAGCACCACAATATCCTGTGTTGTGATTTAGAAAGGCTCTTGTTTTGCTTGGAAATGTGCATGAGATATCATTTAGCCCCTCTTTAAAAGTTAATGAAATGTATGATTGAAAAGTTGTGAGTCATATGAAATGTGTGGATAACATTAATTGTTGACTTTGACTTGAGATTAATATCAAATTTTGATCTATACCTAACAATGGCTTATTGTTTGGTCACTGCCTCCATTTGATTTTCTTGCCTTACTCATGTAATTTTTGATATCAAAAATAAGATTTTAATAATATATATTAGGTTGAGAACATAGGTGAAAGGGAATGGATATGAAGTATTGCATTCCAATATTTATAATTTCATATTTTTGTGTGCATGAAAACAAGTTTGAAGAATATAAATAATCTGATTGACGAAATACTAAGTATGGGTACAAAACAACTAATATAACACCTAAAAAAATATCAAACTACTACTACAATCAAGATATCAAATATGTTCATATAAAAAATAAACTATTCTCCCTAGCTGTACGAAAGAAAAAATATCCTGTTCACATTTAATATAGCCCTTGTTTGATCCCCGTTCTTTGGAGAAAATGAATTCTTCAACAGTGTTTTGACATAATTTCAACCACACATTCTTCAATAAAATAATATTATACGCAAATCCAAAATCTTTCATTATTTTTTAACAAGACATTTTACATCAATACACTATTCAAAAATTCATTTTTCCCATCAAAATGGGGCTCAAACAAGGGCATAGTTCAAACTTTCTACAGCCCATAATCTTCCCTTCCAACGTTGGGATTGGTGTTAGCATAAACAACAAAAGAACACTGGTATTAATTAGGATTTAGGTTGCTGTTGCTATCTTAGATTATTATTATTATTTTTTTTTTCCTCCCTTTAGTGCTGAATACCAATTGTTAGAGCAACTGAGATTTGAGTTAAATTGCTAGGTAAACAATTTATTGATCATTAAGTTCTAAAATGTGATACTCAACTAACCATGCCTTGTTACATTATCCAAACAATGACTGCTATCAGATGTAGCACCAACTGAACAATTAATGGAGAAAGAAAATAGATCTATAAAGAAGAGAGAACTAAGGGGGAGAAGGGTTAATCATCAACTGTCTCAATTACATGGCAAACTAGGTTTAAATAACAAAGCAAAACCCTACATGGCAAACTAGGTTTAAATAACAAAGCAGAAACAAGTCGATCCACCCAACGAATAAGAAAGCACTGAATTTCTTTATCATTGGTCAACACAATCTGATCATCTAAAATAACATCAATCTTATCTTTGTGTGCTGTGATAGGTGATATTGGAATAGACATAGCAAAAGATTTAATGTAGGAATTCCCTCGTGGAGGTAGAAAATGATCATCACAGGGGTTAAAATAGCCTTTGTAAGTAACGGAGTCCTCAACCTTCAAAATAGAGTGGTGGCCAAAGCGTGATAAAAGATCAATGACACATGTATTTGAACCAACATGCTTTAAAATTTTACAAGGACCAGCTCTACAGGCTTGCAATATAACATAATTCTCAATATTAAATTCAAAATTTCGCTTATGCAAATCAGCTTGAAGTTTATATAATGCATTACTTGCTTCAAGTTGTTTATTGACCTTAATATGTAAGTCATGAAGATGATGTACAAATGTCTCGGCTGACACGGACACACTAGCATATGGGGACATTGGAATAAGGTCTAAAGGCTTCCTAGACTTGTAACCATGAATAACTTTGATGAAACTCGTACTTATAAACCGATTCACAAAATTGTTATATGCAATTGGAGTTGTTGGTGCAATTGGAATTGTTGGAAGGATCAAATTTCAATTCCCAATGTTTTCCTGGAAAATGGCATGATTACGCAAATCATCAGGACCGGTGGGTTGGATAAGGGTACAACATACAACATCTGACCGAGAGGTATCGATAGCAAGGGGTACAACCCCTAGATTCATAGGAAAAATCCGGATACTACACAAGGAAGTGTCCTCAATATCATTCAAGTCATCAAATTCTTCAAGTTTAGGTTCATAGACTTGATTTTTCAATCGATCATCCATTACATCATTTCGTTCTTCAATGATTAGCATTCGACTAGGACATTTGGGGGAAATGTGACCAAGGTCCTTATAGTTGAAACACTGCAAGTGAGAAGAAGTCATTGGAGTTTCAAAATCTTGACCATTATTTTCTAACAGATGATGAGCATTAGATAGAGAGGTCCTAGAAGGGGCTTAATAAGAGGGGGTGGCGTCGATGAGATGAAAGGGCGAATGTCAGTATGCCTTTGATACGAAGAAGATCTTAGGATATCATGACCTTTACACTTATTTTCCCAAATGAGAGGAACATTACATGGGAAAGGCTCTATGATGGACTTATGATAAGGTGGCGCTGATGAGATGGATGAACGATGGTGACCATACTTTTCATATGGAGTACCAATTAATAAGTCGTAGACCCAAGCTTGTTCAGCCTCTACCTTCAGAGTTTGACTTGGCATCTGAGACGGATGTGCCCCGTGACCTAGGTCCTCGACAATCTACTCGAGTTTCTCGACCCCTTGATAGGTATGGTTCTTTTCATTCATTGTCCACTACATTGACATCTATTCCTATACCTCTTAATTATTCTGAGGCAATTAAATATGAATGTTGGGTGAAGAACTTTAGGCACTACAAGAGAATCATACTTGAGACATTGTTCCTTATCCATCTAATGTCAAGGCTATAGACTATAATTGGGCCTATTCTGTTAAGCTTTACTTCGATGGAACTCTTGATCGTTATAAAGCTCGCCTAGTTGCTGGAAATAGGCAGGAGTATGGGGTGGATTATGAGACATTTGCTCCAATGGCAAAGATGACTGCAGTACGCACTATTCTCTCTATTGTTGCCTCTCAGGGGTGGTCTCTTTACCCGATGGATGTCAAAAATGCATTTCTACATGTTGATCTTAAGGAGGATATTTTTATGGCACCTCTTCCAGGCCTTGTTTCCTCTCCTTCACAAGTATGTAAGTTGAAGCGGTCTCTTTATGGGTTAAAACAAGCCCCTCGAGCATGGTTTCATTCTACCTTGCTATAACTTTCTTTTATCCAGAGCCATACGACTCCTTTTTATTTCTTTGCAAGACATCTATCGGTATTGTTCTTTTACTTGTGTATATAGATGATATTGTCATCACTGGCACGAACTCTGAATTGATCACTCGACTCCATCTATAGGGGTCGTTTCATATGAAGGATCTTGGTTCGCTTGCATATTTTTTAGGGTTGGAAGTACATAGTAATTCTACAGGCATATTCTTGAACCAACATAAACAAATTCAAGATTTGATCACTCTGGCTAGTTTTTAGGATTCTTCTTCAGTCGATATTCCTCTGGAAGTCAATGTGAAATATTGATGAGGGTGATCTCCTTCTTGATCCCACTGTCTTTTGACAACTAGCTAACAGTCTCAACTACTTGACCATCACTTGGCTTGATATATCATTCACCGTCCTGCTGGTTAGTCAATTAATGCAAGCTCCATGACATCTCCATCTTGGGACGATTCGCTACATCATTTGATATCTCCGAGGTACTTCTCATCATAGATTATTTTTTCCTATTGGCTCTCCTATCCGTCTTGTTGCATTTAGTGATGCAAATTGGGCTTCATGTCTTGATACTCGTCGTTTTGTTATGGGTTGGTGTATATTTTTGGGTGATTTTTTGATCTTTTAGAAAAGTAATAAACAGGCTTATGTACCCAAATCATCTACTGAATCTGAATATCGTGCCATGTTTGCTGCCTGTTCCAAGATTGTTTGGCTTCGTGGGCTGTTAGCTGAGCTTGGCTTCCCTCATGACCCTACCTCTCTTCATGCAGACAATACGAGTGTTATTCAAGTTGCTGCTAATTTGGTATATCATGATCTTATGAAGCATATTGAAGTGGATTGTCATTCCATTAGAGAGGTCGTTGACTTGTATTATTTCTCTTCCGCATATCTCTACTAAGCTTTAGGCCACCGATGTATTCACCAAAGCAAAGACTCGTCAGCACCATCTCTTTTTTGTGAGCAGATTGATGCTTCTTGATCACCCAACATTAATTTGAGGGGGGATGTCAATTGGACATCAATTTAGATAAGATAATATACATGGCAGCTGTATAAATGATAGGAAGCTATTTATGTTCCATATGAACTGTGATGGCTAATTTTCAGCCTTGTAACGTGATGGCTGATTCTTAGCTTTGTAATTGGGCAAATTAGCCCTATTTATGCAGAGGAACCCACAAGAATGGGATCATCGAGTGATAACAGAAAACTGAATACCGTTGTCACGTGCTAGTGAGCAAGGCAGAGAATTTTGGAGGAATGAACCTTGTGAGAACAACTTATATTATCCAATGGCTGAAAGGCTACATGCCATCGGAACCTAGAGACTAATATTGCTTATTGGTGTATTTTTTGCCTTACTGTACTTTATATAATGACCGTGATGTCTGCTCAATTATTGTTATTTTTGTTACTATATTTTTTAATTTTGCTACTCTAGTGCCCATAAACTAAAATAGTGAAGGTTATCCAGGTTTAATGTTTTTAAAAGCAGTTCTTATCTTTGCAATTGTTTGGCGAGGCAGTGAATTTCGTGGTTATGCATATACAAATGAGATCCAATTATCCTCGCATTATCCTCGCCTGAGATATTGTTAACCATGCTTTACCTGTATTTATAGATGAACTATAAGACTGACTAGCAGTACCTTCTGTTACACCCGTTACTTACTATTCTTCACTTATTTCTTTGAATTTGTAGGTTGGCTGGGATGAATCTTCAGCGGGAGAGAGGCAGCCACGGGTATCATTATGGGAAATTGAACCCTTGACTACATTTCCGATGTACCCCTCTTTATTTCCTCTCAGGCTGAAACGACCATGGTATTCAGGGGGGTCATCTTTTCAAGGTATATTTCCTGCCCCCAAATTTATTTTATTTATTTTTTAACAGAAAGGTAATCATATAACTGTGGTGAAGCATATCATGATACAGGAAGCGGTATCTCATTTATCACTAGTGCATTATTCAATACTAAACTAGTTTAGTTTGATTCCTTTTCTGTCTTTTCTTAGAGGTCTTAATGTATTTATATGAAAACGATTTCAAAAATGTGGAGGCAATATACCAAGTATTTTATGTTTTACTTTTGTATTTATCTCTTTTTTGCTTCTTGTTGGAGGTGTTTGTTCACGAAATTATTTCTTTTGATTTAAAACTACCGCAAGTGTATGGATCGTTAACAAGTAATAAAGTGGATTAAATGAGTCCGAATATCGTCCTACAGAGATTGATTAGTTCAATTTTACCTATCGTTGCCTTAACCGAAACTAAATTACTAAAGTGAATGTGAACCTAATTAAAACCCTAATTTTGGAAAGAAAACCCTAATTATGCAAGTTTTATGATTGAATTAAATTAAATATGCGAAACACTATTTTGAACAATCTAGAATGAAATCAAATGTTGAGAATGCACGTTTGTTGTAATCAATAGAAATTAAACACACTAGGATCATGATTTTTCATGCAATTATCACTTTAAAACCTTAGTTTCACAATGTGACAACACACTTCAATTGTGATGAATCAATGTTCCTAAATCTATTCAATACTCTCTCTCGAAATGTATCGAACCTATTTCTACATGCCACCGGCCTATATTTCTATGACAAGTGCATATGTAAAAATGCATGCGATTTTATGAACACTTAAAGATTCACGTAGGGTATAGCGGTATATTTCTATCCTCTATCGGACCCTACGATGATTTATATTATGTCGAATCTATTCCAATTCTCTCGAATGTAAGAATAAATCACCCAAACTCACACAATTACGGGCCCTTAATTGCGGAAATAATAATTGCATATAAATCATTCAAAACAATAGAAATATATCTTAATGTCAAATTGCAAAACTAGAAAATTAAATATCAAATTACATGGTACATAGATCTCCTAGCATATGAAAATCTAGCATAACATGGTTAAAATAAAAGAATACATCAGATTTTGGATAAAAGGTATCACCGGGTTATGAAATCTTGAGAAATCTTGAAGCTCTTTGTGTAAATCTTTATTCTTGCGCTCAAAATCCTCTCCAAGAAGTGTTTTTCTGCCTCCAATACGTTCTTCCTCTTTCTGGACATCTTTTGGTATTTATATCGCGTGAAAATTAGGTTATCAAAAGAGTTTCAGTCGTATAAGAAAACTGCAGAATTGGCCCCCAGAATATACCTATGCGACCGCATAGTACATTTCTATGCGGTCGCATAGAGTAAAAAAAGTTTGAGAAAAATTTCTCGAGAGGCCTCTATGCGACCGCATAGTTATATCATTCTTTCCGTCGGACGGCTTTTAGTATTTTGGTCATAACTTTTTCTCCTGGTCTCCGATTGAAGTGATTCAAAGTGCATTGGGAAGAAAACTCAAAGATCTACACTTTTGATAGAAATAGGCTTCCTCAAATTCTGATGTTTACTATGCCAAAAATGAATCTCAAGTAGAGACTAAAAATCACGAGCATAGCTTTTTCGCCTGAAAGTTGATACTTGATAATACTTCGACCATATTTCACCTCTTGACTCCTTTCCTCATCTGATTGACCTCTAACACTCTTGAATCTTCATTCCATTTCCTGTCTCATCTCTGGATTATTTGCAACTTGGTCCCCGAACTTTCAGTTTGATTGATTTTGGTCCTTTTGCTTGTTTTTTTTATTTCCATCATCTCATAATATCACCAAATTGGTACTTAGCTCATTCACTTCCTTGATTTGTCCTTCGGACCATCTTTTGGATATTTACATTCTGGTCCTGAACTTTTACTTTGCGTCATTTTAGCCCTTTTTCGCGTCTTTTCTTCTGAATTTCACAATGTTCATCGGTGTTTCCTACAATTCACAAATATAACGAAATTAAGTCACAATTCAATCATTTTGCTCATAATTAAGTCATGGTTGTGACCTAAATAAGTGTGTAAAAACACTTATCAGTGTTTGTTAAAAATTAAATTGGAGGCAACTGGGTTTGACTTGTTCTTGTCATAGTAGGTCTTTGTTGCACACATTTTGAAAGTAAAATATTTGGGTTCTAAGTTTCACTGCCACCAATTTATTAAAATTGAAGTAGGACACAATTTAAATGAAAAGTATCCCTCCCTCCCTCTATTGGCTTGAGCTTTCAAATGGGATGGTTCATAATTTCATAACCTCAAATGCCACAACTTTTTTTCGTTCTTACCTTTAACAAAAGCCTCACAAAGCTGAGGCACATTCTCACGCTCTTTAAATTGATTTTCAAAAATGATCTTATAGTGATGAAGGCCATTATCAACTTAACACTCAATCTTCCTTCCCATACTTAAGAGCTTCACAATTTAGATCTTCTGAAAGTTTTCTACCAGAGATCAAATTGCAAGACAAATTGGGGATATATAGAATAGAATTTAAAATTGAATTTTCTGATATTTTATTGAACCTTTTTTATGAGATGAAGGATTTGGGAGAGATTGGGCTGACTCATAATCCTGTATAGGAACTCCAATTGCTCTTTAGAGGAAACAGGGATGGATTCTGTAGATTATGAGGCAGCAGAAGCTTGGAATTCTTCTCTTAAGCAGCTTGATAACTTCAATTTTTTTGGATTTGGTCCTTGGTTTTTCTCAGTTTGGGATTCAGCTTCCCAAGTTATAGCAGAGCCTGATCTTGCTCTAATAACGTCAAAATCTATTTTTGTCAAAATGTTTCTTGCTTTCATTCCTCAGTCCATGACCCAAAAAGGCAGCATCATTTCTGTTTGCTGCCAACACTAAGTTCTCAAAAATATCCCTTCCGGCAGTCATCCCTTGCTTGAGTCTCCCATCAACAAACGAAACTTTCTTATTTTCTAATTTCATCAAATACTACTATTATCAATGGAATCAATTCACCAGGCACTCTACTTTGAATAGGTCTTCATTCATACCTGCGAAGATCAAACTTCATTTCCTTCTCAAACATCTGCTTATATACATCCATTTCTTTCCAAAGATTATCCAAATCATTGAAATTATTAGTAACAAATGGATTAAATTGACTCATCCTTTGGAGCTTGCCCTTCAGACATCCCAAATATCCTTAGCCGATGTGAGAAACAAATAGCTTTGACAAAGTACTGGTTCCATGGAGTTGATGAGCCAAGTTATCATAGTAAAATTCTCAGAATCCCCATGTTATAGGCTGGGGATCCTACCAGTCAGGTACAACCCGGGAACCATCTAGTAGTCCCATTTTTCCTCTGCCTTGTACAAAGAATTTGAGAGAGTGTGACCGTTGTTAGAAATTCTAGACATTTAGTTTATGGATAATAATTTGTAGAGTGATTCTCATGTGGAAAGTGAAGGTGAGCTAACAGAAGACATGGTTGTTTCTGAATATGAATGAGGTGACTTAATTTTATATATATATATATATATTTTTTTTTTATTTATTTATTTATTTATTTTTATTTTTTTTGGGTAGATTTTTTCTGGTTTCAGCAGACACTTGGTAGCCCAGAACCCTTTACGAGTTCTGGTACCATGATGCAAAATGGGTAATTTAATTTCTATCTAGTGAGGAAAAAGTCGAAACATATATAGACCTACTCTAGGTTACAAACTGGAAAACAATTAATTTACATAAATGAGATATCTGCTAAATTATTACTAATTACAGTTCCCTAACAGCTAAGGATATTCTGTAAAAAGTAATCAATTGATTTGGCTGGTAGTTCACCAAACATGCGAGCTTCTAGCTGTGAATACAAAGATTCCAAGCTTTCCATCAATCTCATCATTGAATCCTTCTAAGTACCTGCAATAATTGTCACCATAATGGAAAGACCTCAATAATTATGTAAATGCTAGGAGATGAAACATGAGGAGCCAGTAATTTGTTACAAACTAGAAGTAGATAACTAACCATCTGACACAAAATTTGAGGTCACCACATAAAATCTAAAGCCATTTTCATAGAGAATGGTTCAAAAACTATAACAAGAAGAAGCATTTTCACGATATTACAAATCAAGGGAACCGCAAGAACTTGAATAAGTTAAAGAACAATTGCTGCAAAATTCTCATGATGTTCATTTAGAAGATAATCAGAAGCCTGAAAACTTCCAGAAGAAGAATGATCTAGCCAATGTGAGTGACTGAAATAAACCGAGAATCTGAAGGATGTCAAATATGAATCTTTGTTTTCTTTAAATGCAGAAGTCAGTAACTCCCAAAAATGGTGGATGGACAGTGGGGCTGCTCGCCACATTTGTGCCAAGTCGATGTTTTCTTCATACAAGCAAGTTAATGGAGAAAAATTGTTTATGGGAAATCCTCTAGCTCTGAGGTAGAAGGACTAGGGGAAGTGGTAATCAATATGACTTCTGGGCAAGAAACTCATCCTTATTCCTTAATAATGTGCTACTCATGTCCGACATTCGTAGTCTTTCCTTCAAGATTTAGATGCTGCTTCTATCTTCAAGACCTATATTAGAGGGAACAAATTTGTGTCAAGTGCACAACGTGAAGGTGTTGGGCCCGGATAATTTTGAGTTGGTTTTTATTTTAGTTTACACATTTCTCTTAAAATATACGTATTCTAGTGTTGTAGGAACATTAGATACAACTAATTATTCTTTTTAAGGGGCCTACTATGTATAGTTAAATGTATTCTCCAGTAGGGAAATGAAATTAAAGCTTATACGTGAGTAAACACCACACTTCCTATTTGCTTCATATGTTCAGTAATTTATCATCATACTGCTTGTTTAATGTTTCTGAACCAAATATGTACTTTTCTAGTCCTTTTCATATGGTTCATTGTTATCCTGTGCTCCAATCACAGACAACAGTAATGAAGCAATAAATGGCATGGCGTGGATGAGAGGTGAAACTGGTGAACAAGGACTAAATTCTATGAATTTCCAGTCTGTTGGTATGTTTCCCTGGATGCAGCAGAGAGTTGATCCAACAGTCCTGCGAAATGATCTTAATCAGCAATACCAGGCTATACTGGCAGCAGGTTTGCAACATTGTGGAAGCGGAGATTTGCTCAAAGACCAACTCATGCAGCAGTTCCAGCAGCAGCCTGCTCAATATCTTCATCATTCAGGCAGCCATAATCCCCTGTTACATCAGCAGCAGCAGCAGGTATTCCAGCCATCAATATCTTCACATATGCTCCCCACACAAACCCAAATGCTATCTGATAATTTGCAGAGGCAAACACAACAGCAAGTTAATAATGTGTCTGAAGAACATAGGCAACGACACAATTATCAGGAATCATTTTTAATGCAACGTGTTCAGCTTCAACAGAGGCAGCCATCTGATGTTCCTTCCCCTTCATTCACAAAATCAGACTTCACAAATTCGAACAGTAAATTTGCTGCATCTATTGCTCCTGGAATGCAAAATATGCTGGGTTCACTTTGTTCCGAAGAGAGTGGTAATCATTTAAGTTTCTCAAGACCTGATGAGTCAATACTCAAAGAGCAGTCACCCCAACAATCCTGGGTGGTGAAATTCTCTCAGTCACCAAACAGTAATTGTTCGAATTCAACATCACTTCCACCATATTCAGGAAATGATACTTCTGCTGAGCAGGGAACGTGTAGCTTGGATGCCCAGAATCATTCTCTTTTTGGTGCTAATATTGAAAATGTTGGGCTCTTGCTTCCTACCGTTGTGTCTAGTATCGCTACTTCTTCAGGTCATGCTGAGATGTCCTCTATGCAGCTGGGGACTTCTGGGTTTCAGAGTCCTCTTTATCGATTTGTGCAAGATTCTTCTGAGTTGTTGCATAACACAGGACAAGTTGACCAACCAGCCCCAACCCGTACCTTTGTCAAGGTGTTAGTTCGAGGGTGTATTTGTACTTCTAAACATGTCTACTTTTGTTTTGGGTAAGTTACAATGTTAATTTCTTCTTTTCTTCTCGTGTAGGTTTGGAAATCAGGGTCAGTTGGTAGGATTCTGGACATTGGACGGTTCAACAGCTATCAGGAGCTGCGTCAGGAACTAGGTCAGATGTTCGGGATTGAAGGGTTGCTTGAAGACCCTAAAAGATCAGGCTGGCAGCTTGTATTCGTCGACAGGGAGAATGATGTGCTTCTCCTTGGAGACGATCCATGGGAGTAAGTATCTTGATAATCTATGCGTTTTTCCTTCTCAGGGAGTTAGTTCTTAGGCACTCGATAGCCTTCAATTTTCAGATTTTGTGCTATTGTAAAATCTATAGGAAAATGCTTAACGTGGCTAAATCTCCTTTTTTTCATTTTTTTTTCCAATCCACTTTTGTATGTAAATGAAACTTTATGGATCCTCGTTCCCTTCCTGTTTTATCCACATCAATGGCAATTGTGATCTTGAAAAATGACTACTTTGAAACTGACCATAGTACATGAAACTTACAGGGCATTTGTGAATAATGTCTGGTATATCAAGATCCTTTCTCCTGAGGATGTGCAGAAGCTGGGAGAACAAGAGGCCCGATCATTGAGTCGAAGTGCATCTGAGAGGATGAATAATACTGATGGCCAAGACCTTGTAGGACTCTCATCTATAGGGTCGCTTGAATACTGAGAAACTGATGCTTCTCTCCTCTTTCTTCTGCAGTGCCTCTAGAAGTTGCTCATTTATACATTCTATATGGCTTCGTAGGATTTGGCCTTTTCTTCACGTTGTGTGCAATACAATTTCATTGCAATGACAATGTCTTTAGTGGACATGAACTTGAGAGTTTAAGCATATGTGATTTCGACTAAGAATCTGAAACCTCCCTTGGTCGATGTATTTCGTAAACTAGGAGTTAATGGACATTGCCTTGGAACATTTTTTGTTTCTACCTTCTGTTCGTTAATGCGCTTTTGTTTTCATTGTATTGTGATGGAAATAATCCGACTGTTTACTGGCAATACCTTTGTGTTTTGGTTGTATGAATTTTTCTTTTTCTAATCAGTTCTTGGCTGCTACTATCAACTAGTTGCTCGACGGTTATGATGGGTAAGTAGTTTTTGCATACATCTCCCTTGTAGGTAAAAATGTGGTATTTGGTCATTCAACTTTTAGTGAAGTCTCAGTTAAGTTACTAAACTTTCGTTTGTCTTAATTGGGTTATTGAACTCCCATTTAGTTTCGATTATGTCACTTGAACTCCAATTTGGCTTCAAATTTCTCCAATCCTCTCCTCTCCTAAGTTGATGAAATTTATTTAATTGGTAGACATGCTCTCTTCCTGGTAATCTCTATATGAAATGCTAACTTACCACAATGTCACGTTATAAAAGTATGTAAAATTAAGGGAGGCATGCATGATGTATTTACAATTTGCATACCATATTTTTGAAATTTATGGTCTAAATACTTATTTTACCTTTACAAAAAATAAAAAAATCATCCACTCATCCTCAGTGGGTTTTTAGACTCCACTAAAGAAGGATGATGGGGATTAGAATGTCTCAACCATAAGATATATGGAACTTATAAGAATACATGAAAAGGGGATGTAACCTTAACTTCCGAAAAGGAAATAAATGTAAAGACGAGTAAATGAGATAGTATTACCTTCCATACAAAAGTAAAGTAGCAAAATTAAATTAAAGAACTTTAACATTTGAGATGTTGTACCAAAGCGTGAAACCGTTGAGGAAGGTTTATGAGGTCAGACTCTTGAGAACGATGTTTTTGGGCCCACAGTAGCAAGTAATCAGCAACCTAATTCTCTTCAGAATATATGTGGGAGATCGTGTCACAGTCAAATGAGAGATGATCTCTAATATGTTTCAGAGTGTCATCTATTTATCACGTCCCTTCTCTGTGAGTGATAACGTAAACAATCAAAGAGGAATTTATTTAAGTCACAAGTTTGAGAGTCCAAATCCTTGAGTGAGAAGAATCTTGTCCAGGATATTACGTAACTCAACATCGAGAATAAGGTAGTCACCATAAGGAGATGAGAATGTCCGGATGCACCCTGCAGCCTGGTCTCGAATAATACCCCTATTACTGACAAATCCATCCTTAACATAATCATTACTATTGGTCTTGGATTTTTCAATTTTTTTTTTTTTTAATATAAGGAAAAGAAAATAACATTGCACAACAAGCAAATATAGTGAAAACACCTTCAAACTTGAAGTACATATTGTACTTGCCGTGTTATATGATGAGGATTCTCTTTAGTATCTTCCTTTAGTCTACTTTGCTCATTGCGGAATACTTCCATCATACTACAAAAGAGACAGGAACAAAAAATTTCATTTTTTCTTTAAATTTGTTTGGAAATTTCCAAAATTTATTCATTTTCTAATTTTTTTTCAATAGACAAAAAATTTAGGGTGCCAAGTTGAAGATCAAATACGGTTTTGCTACCAACTAAAATTTCCCAACAATTTTGATAAAAAAAAAAAAAATTGCAGATCGGGAAATTTGAAAATACATTGAAGTCTTAGTGAACGAGATAAATTAAAGTTTAGTGATCCAATTAAAATATTAAAAAGTTTAATTTTTACAAATGAAAATTAATTACCCCGATGGAAATAACTACTTTTAAGCTTGAATAGAAATACTATATAGGAATTCTAATTTATTTGGCCATGGTGCCATTTTAACTAATTCGATCCAAATATAGACAACACTAATTTTAACCATAATTTAAAAAAAAAAAAAGAAAAAAAGAACTCTACTAATTTTAACAAAAAAATAAAAAATAAGAATTTTAAAGATTGTCAAAGCCCTCAATTCACAATACATAATTTGTCCAGTCAGAAATGTAAACTGCACTACATTAGCCACTTTCAAAATTGCATACCTGGCTGGGAAAGGGCCACGGACAACAGCTACACGGTGGCGGCGACTGTGCAGTTAAGCGAGGGGTATGAAGACGATGCAATGGGCTGCTAGAGCCGAACACCTAGGCGGGATACCCCGCAAGATGATGTTCTTGGCGGTGGGAGCATTCTCCAAAGCGGTGTCTAATCTGTTCAACAACACTACCGTGCACAACGCCGACACCCTCCTCCGTCTTGTCCGATCCCGCCCACCCGGTGTCCCTCTCCTTACCATCAGTAATCACATGTCCACGTCAGTCTTTCTTTCAATAAACGAATATTTCTAATTTTTCATAATTTTGTTTATGATTTTAGCATGAATGAGAAATGTTGATTAGTTGCATGCTTCAATTGGAATATTTTGTTTTGATAATTTGATTCTTTAGAGTGTCGTTTGTTATTTGGAGTAAATTTCTTGCTATTACTGACTATTACTTGTTAGACTGATTATTACAAATCTCTACATTTGCAAATGTTTCCACCACTTCAGGTTGGATGATCCAGTAATGTGGGGGTTCAAGGGTTTCCCTGTAACAGATGCAAAATTGGGAAGATGGGTTCTAGCAGCGGAAGATATATGCTTTAAAAATATGGCGCTTTCATATTTTTTCAGGCTTGGTGTGTAGTGTCTTGTTCCTTTGAGCTAATTTTGATACTTTTGCTGAGTCCACTATATGAGTTAGATTGGTGCTATGATTGATGGTTTATAAGGCGCTATTTACTTCACTCAATGGATATAATGGTAAGGTATCCAAATATTTCATACCGTGGTAGGCACTTCATTAGAATGGAGATTCAATGCATTGTTACTTGTTGATGTACGACTAGTATACTATTGCCACCATGCAGATTTTCCAGCTTGGAAACACAAAGATCACTAATGAACTAAACTGAAAATATGAAATGGAAACAAAATTTGTACATTTGTCATAGTTTAATCTAATGTTTGAACCATGTGATAGTAGAACAAAGATGTTTGACACGAGGAAGAGAAAATTAGAATTTATTGTGGCCTGCTGAAACCTAAAATAGTCCCCTTAGGCTTGTTTGTGAAGCTGACTCAACAAAATTGGACAGGATTGAGGAAGAAAATTACTTGAGATGCTTGTGCATTGTTGTTTCCAGTCTTATTTTTGTTTAGCATTCCAAACTTGAACATAATATTTATAAAAGTGGCATGCATATGGAAGGGAATATTCATTTGAGCACAACAATTTAATGTATGCTATTTTCTTCAACTTGATTTTCTTTAGGATATTTTAATCACTAAGAGACTATTTACAATCTTGTTTGGAGCTTAGAGGTCAATTTGTAAAGCGGTAATTTTTGTCTTATATATATGGGGATTTATGGGGAATGATTAAGCATTGATGGTTTTGTTTTGGTTCCGTCTGCTGTTGATGGTGCCATTAACTTATTTAATCTTAAATTTTTTTGTAATTAATATATTGTTGATTTGGATTTGCTGGTTAAATTTAATTTAGTTTGCTAAGTAGTTTCCAGTTACTTTTAAGGTATCAACTCAAGTTCAAAAATTTGCAGGGAAATGTATTCCTATAACAAGGGGAGGTGGAATCTATCAAGAGCACATGAACGAGGCCCTTGATCGCTTGAGTGATGGAGCTTGGGTACTGTTTCTACTGTCATATTTAAGACTATTTTCCTTTTGGTACTGAAAAAACTTTCACCACATTAATCATATAACTGGTGATTAAGCTTCCAATATATTTTTGTCACTGATAAGTAGTCAATTATTGCTACTGGGTGACCACAATTCATTTCTTTTAATCCCTTATCTTTTGATCTGTTTCAAGTATATTGACGTGCTCATACAAGCAATTAACTTTCGGATTATGGTAAGGAGTGCATGTCCGATAATATGAATTGGTTAGTTACTAAAAATAGTAATTTCAAATCATCTTTTAATAACCTAAAAGCATTAGGCCCCATTACAAGATAATGCATTTTCACCAAGCAACATATTATCACAGATAAAATCAAAATATGCTTATATATATACATTTTAACGTGTTCCCTCCTACACATTTCTACTTTGATAAGTCCAAATTTGAGTGTGTGCTGGCAGCTGAGACTGGTGCCTGAATTCATAAAACATGACAAGCCATGATGGGACATTATTTAGATTTGCATAAAATTAACTAATTTTGTGCATCCATTTAGTGGATAATTGATATTGTATTATTCCTAATTTCCTATTGTCATATAACAGCAATAAGTGGAAGGGGTGATATCAATTAAGGACTAATTAAGGAAAGCATGACTTGGATAATTGGGATCTATCTTGCATTGACCTAAATAGATTTTCAAAAGCAACGCAATCCCAGTTGAACAAGTCAGAAGAGCGGCAGATGGACCAAAACTAACCTGACTTCACATAGTTATAAAGTACATGATTTTAATAGGCCTCTCTTTGAGGTAGCTTTGGATCGAACGAACTAGAGAAAAAGGATTTTAGCAGGTTCAACATTTATCTGGAATAATGAATAGCTTCTTCTTTCACTTCTCTTGTAGATATAATCACTGAAATTATTTGGTGGTGTAGAAACTAGAAAATATGATAGTAATCACTAATCAAGAGTAGACTAGTGGCTATAGTTGTTCTAAAGTTCTTTTTATTTCTTTATCTCACATGAACAGTTGCATACATTTCCAGAGGGGAAGGTGTGTCAGGAAGATGCACCAATAAGACGGTTGAAATGGGGAACTGCCAGTCTCATTTCTCGTGCCCCTGTGACGCCAATAGTTCTGCCAATTGTTCATCATGGTTTTGAAAAGGTATTTTCTTGATATCATCAATCAATTTTACCATAAGATCGGTAAAAATGAGTTCATCTCTTTTGCTACCCGAAGTAATCGTGCCAACTGTGTTCAAATGGAAATTTGTCAGTTAACGAAGGTACAATTAGTTACCAGATGTTCTGGTGACATCCTTATTCACATCCATCAAAATTTCCTAGTTTAGCAAAATGGTAAATTGATCCAGTTTTCACGAGTTCGACAAGATCCCTGGCTTCAGCAAACTTGTGCTTATAGACTTGCCAAATGAAGCTACCTGATACAGGAGTAAAGGTTTCCAATTAAATAGAGTTAAGATTTAACAAAAGCCTATATTTTGGTTTCTGAAGGAATTTGGATCTTCAGAATGTTTACCTCTGCTTCTTTGGCTGAAAGCCTGAGAAGAATGAAATTTTGGGCTTTAAAAAGTATTTTGAGATGGTAAGAAATTGATTAATTTCTGGAGCAACAAGATTCCAAGACAAATATCAAACATAGATTGTTCTAGAAGCTGGTGAAGATTTCCTTGAGAGGTTTGCCATATGGGATTTTGTGCCTTTAGGTTTTCAATTTTGTAAGGTCATGGAAAAGATAATGATTGATATGTTATTTGAAGAAGGTAGCACCCAGTAGTAACCTTTGATTGTTGGTGTATTGTAGTCTGATTATTTTGTTTTTCGCAATTTAGAGACTGAAATTTGTGAAACAGAGAATAAGGAGGTAACATATTAGGCATCTAATACGATTTGGGTTGCATTAAGCGTCAAATGCTTTCAATTTTTTTCTTAAATGTGCACTAGTTATTTAAGAAGAGATTTCAATTGACCTCCTACACCAACTAGAACTTGCGCACTGCTCTGCTCATCACTTCATTTGTATTCTAACTTGACTGCACTAAAACTCCCAACATGAATAATGACATAATGGCATACTAAGCCTATTTTGGCCCCCAATTCTTTCAAAAACTCTTTTTTTTTTTTTTTTTTTTTTTTTAAAAATCTTTTTTTTTTCCATTTCCCCAAAAAAAAATTTTTCCCCAAAATCAAAAACTTTTTTTTTTTTTTTTTTTTTTTTTTAAAAATCTTTTTTTTTTCCATTTCCCCAAAAAAAAATTTTTCCCCAAAATCAAAAACTTTTTTTTTTTTTTTTTTTTTTTTTTTCAAAACTCATTTTCTATCACATTCTCCCATAAAATAATTTTACGCGTAAATCGAAAACTTTTTTTTTTTTTTTTTAATCCAACATTCTCAAAAAATTCATTATTCCAAAATGCATTTTCTTACCAAAATGGGGCTCAAACAGGGGCTAAATGACAATCCTGAAATCTGATTACTCTAAATCTATGAATTTTCTGTAGTACCTTGTGCCTAAGGCAGCATGTATAATAAATTAAAATAACCAGTGGCTGGTAAACTAGAGAAAAGTTAAATAATGATTCCTGAGAAATCTAACTATTGGAGATCCCAAGTAGTTGTAGTTACAGAAAGACTACCCGAAAGCCCCTTTGGAATAGTAAAATGACCTAAATGCTTTATTTAGAGATTTCAGCAGCAGATATCATCGTCCTTTTCTTTGTTTGTATCACATTCTTTTCTGTAAGATACATATATTCCAGTCAGTACCTCATTCTTTTTAGGTCAGGACTAATCCTTTATTCCAAATCCGTTGGGCTATTTATAGCTTTCTAAGTAAAATTATGAGATTTACTACCTGGGGGAGAATGAAGATAAGAATAAATACAGGATTTAGATAGAGTTTTAAAGTAGAATTTGATTTTAAAATGTTTTTTGATTAGACTAGTTCAATATTCTGATATGGTTTTAGTTTATTAGAAATTTATTTAACTTTAACTTCTTTCCCCAAAAATGGTTAAGATTTCGTTTGTAAACAGACTTTGATTAATGATTGAATATTTTGATTATTTATTCCCTTATATTCTTCTCATTCCTTTTCATTTCTTCTCTCTCTCTCTTCCATATTTCTGTTTCTTATTATGATATACATCACTAGCACTACATCTTTTAGAATGTTTTAATTATTGGGACTTTCATAGTATAAAATAAGAGTTCATTTGTCTCGAAATGAAAGAACCCATGGATTGACAGCTAAGAAATGTGTTTGAGAAAATGTTAAATATGTTACGAAAGATATTTCCTTTGAGAACTGTTGCCAAAAGAATGTCATATAGTTATTTTGTCGTCAGCATTATCGGATATTTAGAACGTAGAGAAAACCTTAGTTAGCCATCATATGACAATATTTTCCTGCACAGTTCTAAAATGGTACAATTACAGTGATTATTAAATTGTTTGGTATTAATGATTTCTATGCCTATTTAAAAAATGGCTTGACTTGCAAGCACATGTTAATACAAGTACCACTAGGTTTATTTCTATTCTCTTTGTGCCGTGGTTTTTCAAGAAAAAAAACAGTACTTCGAATTTGAAAGCTTTTTTCAATCCAGTTCCACATTTTGTATTTGACACTAGGTTATGATTTACCTATTTGCAGGTCATGCCCGAGAAATATATGTTTGGTAGAAGGCCTCCTTTTCCATTGTGTAATAGGGATATTAGAATAGTGATTGGTGAACCAATGGAATTTAACATTCCCAAATTGAAGAAGATGGCTGTAGACATGTCTAATGATGTATCATTTAGCCCTGCCGGTTGGCCGAGGACCTGTGGATTGGATGAGGCAGCACAAAGATGTCTTTATACGAATATATCAAACCAAATACGAACAGCCATGGAAAGATTGCGGAAAATTTGCAAATGTTGTCAGGAGATGAAGGATTAAGGCTCGATGATTTTGGAAATATCAAAGGGATATTGCAGGTTTATTAGTTTTGAAGCATTTTTTCTCATTGGGGGGCGTTTAAGATTTTGGAATTAGAGGATTTTGACGAAGTTGAGAGCCGAAGGCTTTCTTTTTCTGTACGGCTTATATCGAGTTAGTGCATTTGAACTCGTAAATAGGTCTTTCGTGTTCTCATTTTTCTCCCTCGTTTCTTCGCTTTCTTTGTCTTGTCCGAAGAGTTCTATGCATGGAGTTTGCACACTAACCATTGTGGTGGAAAGGAAAATTAAGTATAGCTTTGGAACATCTTTCATTACATACATTTCTTGGAGTCGGTTTCTATTGCAATGATTCCATTTTTAGGATGTATGTTGTTACTTGATTTTATCTGCTCTACTTGGAATCGGATCGAACCAGATTGCACTCACCCTTGACATTTTAAATATGAAATATGGAAAGTAAAAGTTAGGGTAAAATTATCAAATCTCCATCTTGATGAATGCATTTGAAAGAAGATTCTTTGTAGGTGCAGTGTACTGTCAGCTCTTGTTCTTTGATCTGTTGGGGTACATCCCGCAATTTCTTCCTCACAAAACTCTAGGAGCGGGGCCGTGGGGGTCTTCAAGGTTGGGATTCAACAATAAGCCAAATTTTTAATAAGCAATAAGCATGATGCCCCTTATTTTTATGGTTTATTTTAAGGTTTGACCTAGTTAAATACCATGATGCCCCTACCCTTTTCCAAAAATTACAATTTTATCCACCATGTCTATCTTATCCACTGCAGAATCAGAGAATGTAGTGCGTGAAGCTATTGCTCCAGATATTTTTTTTCAAAATTTAATAATTTTTTATGTGTATGATATATCATAGACAAACAGTTACATTACATATATGTTAATTATCGAAAAAAAAAAAAGTACTAATTTGTCTTTAAACTATTGTATTATAGCAAAAAAAAAAAAAAATGGGTCCTACGATTATACTTGCAATTAATTAGAATTTACACGCCTTTCCTCATCAAATCAACTTTGGTTGTTGGTTGTTCTGATTTTTCACTATCTTTACAATAAATAAATGGAGCAAATCTCGTGACTTGGTACAAGCATATCTCCCTTTTATTTTCCTTGGTCTAGCCGGCATGGCCGGCATTTCAACAATATTTCAATATATTCCCCTTTATACTCCGACTCATTCCTCTTTTATGCACTATTTTCACTTAAAATTAAATCTGATTTACTTCAAAACGCAATCGGATATTTTGTGTAAATGTTTTCGTGATTAAAAAACTACAAATTTTAAGACATTTCATTTTTTACGATGAAAATTTTTGGTAATAAGAAGGCGTGAAAAAAACAATCACTTACTTTTCTATATAAAAGTTTGATTCATTATAAGTGATATTTTTTAGGGCTCACTTGTGGGGTCCGCATACGGTTTAGATTATCTTTACGTCGAAATTAGCTTATCATTAAACCACTGTCAAGTCAAATAGGGTTTCAGGAGCTGATCCAATACCGACGAGCTGATATTCCCTAACAATAGTTTCAAACAAAAAAAGATTTTTTCCCCATTTTGTCACTCAAATGAAAATTCATCTATGACAATTGAAGAAAGTGTATGACACATAGGATAGTTGGTAAAGTAGATAGAAAAAATGGAGCTCATAATTTTGGTTTAACTACTTGAATAAGAAACATGTGAACTTATTTAATGGAAACATCTACATTTTTTCTTAAACACTTTATGTATTCTTTTCCAAGTTCTTAATTGTACAAGGTTTTTTGTTTTCTCTTGAAAATATATGGAATGATGAACCCCAAAAACTAAACTGAAGGTGGGATGTCCCAATCCTTGTACAATTCTTGCTTTTTTTGGAGTGGGGGTGTTTCTATTGGTAACAACAATAGATAATTTGTGTGTTGAAGCCTGCATTGCATTATTGGATGGACTATATATTCAATCATTGTAAAGAACATTAAAGCTACGTGATTGATGCATAGTCTTGGTAATGATCGGAATGGAACGTGTCGATTCAATTTTTTTACCAAAAAACAAGACTTGGCCCCTATTTGGTTTAGTTACAGAATTAGATTAAAATTTAAGCTAAAGTTAATAATTAATTTTAACAATAATTTTTCAACCACAAATTTCATTAACTTTATCAAAATCAATTTATTTATTTATTTATTTTTTTTTATTTTTATCAATAGGGGCTTAGTTTATCTTGCTGTGAATTGCATGAGTAAATCCAACGTCATTTTTATTCAAGCATTTAGTAAAATTTTGTTTTATAGTGTCTTGGGACTATGATTAATTAATAATATATTATAATAATGTGGCTTTTGTAACTAATCTGCTATTCTTTCTGACTTTTATTTTATAAAACTTTTTCGTGTTCCGTGCAAAACTTCGTTATGGACTGATAGTTAGATTGTTTTTTCTTTTTTGGGTCAAAATGTTCATTGGCATATTTTCGCTTGATAAAGTTAAACTTTAAGAAANAAAAAAAAAAGAATTTAAAAAACTCTCGTGACCTTATTATCACCTTTCCGATTCTCCCTCCTTCACTCCACTCTCTCTCCTCTCTCTTCTTTCTCTATCTAGCAGGTTCAGGCGGTTCAGCATTCCTAATCCTGTGGTATCTTTTGCCCCCTCATTGTCTGATTTTTTAAATTTGCTCGAATGTGTTTGTGTTGTATGCACGTGCGTTGTGTTGCTCTGATTTCTGCGCCATTGTCTGTAATTGATTTCCAATTCATTTTTTGTTATTTCGATCTGTGTTTTGATTGTTTTTCTATGAGTAATTTTCCTGGCGAAAGTTGTTATTTTTCAAGTTTAAGACTTTTAGTGTCGTCAGTTTTATTTTTATATTATGCTTAATATTCTTCTGGATCTCCGGACTTGGATTTTATCGTGTTTGTTTTTACTTCACTATTTATTACGATTTAGAAGAGTTTCTGGGTTTAGAATTTTTAGGATTTTCGACTTGATTTCTGACTTTTAATTTTTTGTCAATCATATAATCTGTTTTTGGAATTGTTATTTATGACTTATTGTATTTCTATTCTGGGTTCATGTAGCTTGAAATTATTGAAATATGAATTTTATGTCAAATTTTGGCATCCCACATTGATGACTTTGCTGTATTTCTTTAACAGAATCGCCTTCTGTGTTGAACATAGTTGAGGAAAAGGAAATAAACAAAACCGTTTTGGGTGGAGAGACACCTTTAAATTGGCTGCTTGTATAAAATTTTGATATGGCACAAAGTTTGAGATCAAGCAGGTCTTCATTTGGTTCTGCTAATGGATTTGAAACCCCTTCACACAATTTGTTTGCCACATCAAATGGAGATGATTATGATTCAGATGGTTCCAATTTTGCCCCACCGTAAGTTCATTCCTTTCCTTTATGTTTCATTTGGACTTTCAAACTGTGCTTGATGGATGCCACTAGCATTTTTCCCAAGGAGACAAGGAGTTGGCTTCGTTGTATGTTAATTTCGTCGGGTACAAGAATTTATCAGCTTTTATCTCATTTGACTTGCAGCACGCCCAACACCCTATCGTCGGGAATACCGCCCGAACTTGCCGGTGTTATACCATTGCTTGATAAATTCCAGGTGAAAACTATATTTTTTCCTTAGTAGAGTATATGTAACTAGTATAGTATATTTTTTCCTTAATAGAGTATATGTAACTAGTTTATATGTTAGTTTTTATTGTAACTGAACTTTATGCCATGTTTTCAATTTGTTTTGCTCCTGGGTGTGGAATGCATGAAATTTTAGTTTGTGATTATCTTTTTCTTTTTTCAGGTGGAGGGTTTCATGAGGGCCATGCAGAAACAGATTCATTCTGCTGGTAAACGTGGTTTCTTCTCTAAAAGGACATCAGGATCACAGACTCGAGAAAAATTCACATTTGAGGATATGTTGTGCTTCCAGAAGGTAATTCATTGCGCTTTGATGACAATCCCTGTTTGTGCTTTATAAACTCATTTCTCGAAGGTAAGTTGCATCTTTTGGCAGGACCCCATCCCAACTTCACTGCTGAAACTAAACAGTGATCTTGTTAGCAGAGCAGTTAAGCTGTTCCAGATTATCTTGAAGTATATGGGAGTTGATTCCTCTGATCGAGCAACTCCAACAAGCTTAGATGAAAGCACACAACTTGTTAGCAAATTATACAAGCATGCTATGAAGCGTTCTGAATTGCGAGATGAACTTTTTACACAAGTTTCAAAGCAGACAAGAAATAATCCCGATAGGTATGCACACAGACTTTTTGTGAAGTCTGCAGAAACTGATTCATTCACTTTTTCCATTTGTTACATGTGTAAGTCTTTTATTAGTGTTTGAAAACTGTTTCATCACTAAATTTCGCTCAGTTTTCACGTTGCTTGATGATCTTAGTTGGCCTATTGGTTTCATTATTGGCAGGCAATCTTTGATCAAAGCTTGGGAACTAATGTATTTATGTGCATCCTGCATGCCTCCTAGCAAGGAAATTGGTGGCTATTTGTCAGAGTATGTACATACTGTTGCACACAATGTTAGTAATGATTCTGAGGTTCAAGTACTTGCAATGAATACATTAAATGCTTTGAAGCGTTCCATTAAGGCTGGACCAAGGCATATAATACCTGGACGTGAAGAGATTGAAGCCCTTTTAATGGGTAAAAAGCTTACAACTATAGTATTCTTCCTGGACGAGACTTTTGAAGAGATTACATACGACATGACCACAACTGTAGCTGATGCTATTGAGGTACTGTAGATGTTATCCTATTGTTTGTACGTATGCATGTTAGAGAAAGTGTGTCAATTACTAGACAATCCTATTTAGTTTGTTTCCTAACATTGACAAAGGACATTTGTGCAACTTTGCAATTCAGATGCATTTCTGTCTGTTTAATTGTATCAATTGGCAATTGTATTGAAGTTGCCCTTGAGGATGCTTGTATTTGTATTTCTTCGATTGATATGAACAATGCTTACTTAACCTAATTCCCTTGTTTCTAGCTTCCATACAATCAGTAAAAGGTATATACTACCTTATTTCTCATCTTTTTGTTGAATAAGATGTTCTCTTATCGCTGAAGATAAGCTTAATATAAAACTTGTAAATAGTATAATTGGTGCAATAAATATTTGTTTTTAATTATTATTCAAAAGCACTATCCAAAGGTTTAAGGCCCTCCAAGCAATGCTAAGTTTTTGGCAGCTTTTATTCTCATCATTCTTTATGTTCTATGAAGTATTAGGTCAACCAATTGTTCGTTTACGAAATCACAACAGATATAAACAAGTGCCAATCTGAATTTCTTTTAAATATTTCAACTAATTTCAGGTTTATAT